TTAAATAGTTTTAGCTTTTCTGCACTTGACTTGATCTGGCTTATCTTGTGGAGTCCTTTAGTTTACTCTTTCCTGTTTTTGTTGGTCTTTGTTGGTTCAACAAGTAGTGAAAGCGTCAACATAGGAGGAGACCAGGACAATGGGACAGGAGGAAGAGGCGGGGGAGGAGGTGGAGGAATAGGGCAATGACTAAATTGGCTGGTGAGGATAAATATGACAAGGATGGCAACTGTGATGGAAAAAGATTAGCAGTGGAAAGTGGACAAAATATCCAGGGTCATGTTTGTCCATTTTTAATATCTTAGTTGAATGGATTAGAAGCTGGGCCTGAAAAAATGGAATAGGTTGTAGTTCTGAAAGACCAGTTATAGGACTGAATGAATGTATGTTTGTTGTTAAAGGCAGATGAGTGAAATAAGTCACAATACCTCTGATGAACTGATGAGGTATTTCAACAAAGTAATACTAAGATGCAAATAGTGGCAGGAGTGAACTATGATGATAACACAACCTGCTTGATTGTGAGTTTGAAATAAGACTGCTGATTTTGATTTTAAACTTGAGCATTTTGAGAGAAGGGATAAAGAGAAGTTTGGGGTATATAGCAAGGAAGATTGGAAATGGGGCATTTGTAGGACAAAGCAGATTGAGGAATAATCATTTTTAAATTATTTTGTATGTGGATTTTAGCACAAAGTTTAGAGAATCATAACTCAGCTTCAATAAAAATGGCCTAATAACAATTATTTTGCTTTTGTGGAGTCAATTCAAGCCAAAATGACATTGAAAGGCAAGTGATCACCAATGACCAGGGAGGAGGGAGCATTTCTATATTAATTAGAAGTATAAAAAGAATTTAAAAAAAAATCCACATCAAAACTGATATATTTTTAAACTGATATGCAGGCAGGTTTTGAGGGTAGAGCAAGTAGTAAACGTTTGTGGGGCATGAGCTGTTGCAGTTAGAGGAACATGAGGATAACCAATTTCGTTGTATTTAAATACAATGACAATAAATATTATACTTATAAGCTGCATGTTCTATCACTTGTTGTTCTTCTGGTTTAATGAGATTCACGTGTTTTTCATTGTTTGTTGATGAGATGCTTGGTTTTCAATTTGTGATGCAACATTCATCTCTAAAACAAAAGCCCAAAAGCTCAAGAGTTTGAAATCTTTTGTGTCACAAGCATCTTCATGTTATAGATATATAATGTTCAACACTGAGCAGATAAAATAAAACATACAGATAAAGTACATATAAAATTATGTAAAATAAATAGGATTAAGGGTAGATAACATTCACCCAGTATCGGGCCACATTAACAGCATTTTCTTTTGCCAGCATGAGATCTTCCACTGTACATGTTGAAGGACATTGTATGCACCATAGTATGCATGAGATGGACTGTTATTTTCCACATTCACATAGTGTATCTTCCATAGGCAAGACCCATTTTCGTAGATTGTTCCTTGATCTTTCTACTTGGCATAATCTGTTTTGTGATTTCCATATATGTCAAGGTTATTCTTGACCAGGTGGTAGTCGTGTGGTTGTGCCAAGTTTCCCGGTAGCTCCTTACTCGCCTTCCATAATTCCAGGGCTGTTTGTGGCTACTGCCTGATGGGACGGGTGGAGGTTTTGAAGAAGGCATTCCTCGATCTCAGTCTGAACTGTGGAGGTTGATGGCCACTTAATGCGTTCTGAAGTTGTTGCTTTAACTCATCCTTTCTGTGCAGCACTTTCCCAGCAGAACTTTGGAGGGCAGATACCAGCTAGATAATGCATCTTTTGTATTTAGGTCAGTTTTAGATACCTTGATTATCAGTCTCATTGTTTCATTTAGGGACACATCCATCTATTTTGCATGTTGCAATCCGAACCAAACAGAATTAGCATATTTTCCAACAGAGTGACATATGTCTAATGTGGAAATTCTATGGAAGTGTGGTTGAGTGGTCATCTTTATTTTTCTCAGATTGTTCCCAGCAGATATTTTATGTTTGGTATTAAAACAGTGGTTCTTAAAGGTAAGTGCGCAGTTCAGATTTACTCCAAAATACTTTAGGATAGTGAAATGTTCTAGGCTAGTACCATTCTATCATACATGCAGATTTCTTGATGTCTCACAGTTTTTTTTTTCAAATGGAAAGCCCAGAGTTGTGTTTTCAGCTGGTTTGGCTTCAGCTGGTTATCCCTGTAGTATGTAGCCATTAGATTCAGACCCTTGATCATTTTTTTCTTGACAGCTTTGAAAGTTACACTTTTGCTGCTATTACCAGATTGTTGGCATCACAGTGAAGTCTGAAAGATACTGGACTAGAAGATGTTATCTTTAGAAGCAACTGCAGAGAAATTGCAACACATTGGCAATAGCTTACCAAAGCCAAAGCTGCTCAGTAAATTGTTCCTTGATGTTACTCTAACAGCATGACTCTTCTTATATAAACATGGGAAAATGTGAATGGCTGTTATCCTGAAGTACAGCAGAACTGGACATGCATTGCTGATATATATTTCAAAGTCTTCTTTGGACACAAGGAAGATGCTAAAGTGAATAACATAGGTTTTTCCAGTATCTTGGAGACTTGTTACATGTCTACAAATTCAGCTTTGCCTATATATGAATAAAAAAGAATGCAAAGTGAACAGTTTATGGCGTAACATAAACAAAACAAATTTGGTTCTCACGAAAAGTTGTATATTTTGTCTAATTATTTTAAAATATAAATAAAAGTATGTAATTTTTTTTCTGGCATGGTTTTTCCAGTTTCTAACTTGGTACCTTGACCATTACACCAAACTGGCTCTCCTAACATTCTGTAGAGGAAGCCCAAATTGGCAAAGCAAGCAGAAACCCTGCACTTTTGCATGGGCATCAAAATTGCACATGGGTTGGTTGTGCAACCATTATGACATTTTAGATCCCTCCTGGGGTGCCTCTGAGAATGTATCTGCTGCTGAATTTCCTTTGCCCTATTTTAAGACCTTTCTTTCCACAGTTGTTAAGTGCATCACTGCAACTGTTAAGTTAGTAACCTGGTTAAGTGAATCTGGATTTCCCATTGACTTTGGTTGCCAAAACATTGCAAAAGTTAATCACATGAC